GAGGAAGGAAGGAAGAAAAGAAGAAAAAAAAAAAAAAAGATTTGCAGCTCTGTGTCTGTCATTTCTCAACCAAGGTCTGTAATAAGAACACTAAAATTTTAACATACTCAATTCACGGCCATGTTGAATCCCATGATAGTTAATTTTTCCTGACAGACTCGGTCCTGGTAATGAACAGGTACTTGTCAGACTTGCCACAGTTGTTTTGGGTTCTCTGTCAGTTTCAGCAGCTGGGGGTCAGGGGTCACCGGGGGGGTGTATTCAGCGGAGACCGTGAGACAGACGGCTGTCATGTCCTTTTCCTGCAGATTCAAAATGGTGAACAGAAAGCCTACGTCTTGAAAAACAAGGAGCTGACAGGGCCAACAAAGGGGGTCATCTATCTTGAAATAGATGTGATTTTTAATGCTGTAAGTCTTAACTTTGGCTTTTTTGTACTGCTAAAGAGTTCAGTTTCATGAAAGCTTTTGTTCCTGATTTGTAGAGAATTTCTGTCATTCCTCATTTTCTCTAAACCTTGATGTATACTACAGAATACTCTTCTGCCACTGCCTGGCACACCCACTCTTTTTGTTGCTGCTGCTGCTGCTCTCGCCGCTAATGTAAGGAGCAGCAACTCATGCCTCTGTGTACGTTTATGTGTCGCGGGCTTGGCAGCCATGACTTTGAAACTTCGTAATTTTTGCAAATTGAAGCATGTGTTATTAGTAAGGAGTGAGTAAGCTTGAAATATTGACACACATTTTAATGCGTAGGTGAAAGCCAGCATACAAACCTTAAAGCCCAAAGAAGAGAAGTACATCGAAGAGGAAGACAGACTGTCTAAACAGGTAAAGATTAAGGAAACACTAATCCTTTCCGAAAGCCTTAATATCAAGTGTGCACATCCAAATATCTGGTATCATAGTGCGGAGGGTAAAGAGTAACATTTTCATTACCTGTTTACAAAAGAATGGTTGAAAAAGGCAGAAACAAAATACATGGGTTTATTGTGTCTCCTCTATAAATTGAAGCTTAATTTCCATGAAATACGTGAATAAGGACACAGTTGAAACCATCAGGTTCCACACGTATCAGATTATAGCACAGGTGCATGTAAACTAAGTCTTGCATAAATTTTTGCTGTTAACCTTGACCCAAAAGATCTCCGTTTCTTGCAGGGTAGAGAACCTTTCAGCATTCTTTTAGACAGATTTTAAATAAGTTGGTTAAGTAAGGTTTGAATCAAAGCTGAAAGCAGACTAAACCTCTGTGTTACTTTGGAGAGTCCTGTGGGTAGGAAATGTCTGGACCCTTTTTTCTCTGCATATTGTTGCTACACACAGTTTAATGTTTTGGTTAAAAGTATTTAAACACACATCTTTGTCTCCACTTGAACCATTTTTTAATTCAGTTTTTCATGTTCCAGAAATTATGTATTTTATATGGAGAGAAGTGGGATTTTGGTTGGACTCTGGAAACAAGACTTCTGTTGTTTGTGGTGAAAAGGCAAAGGTCTCAAAACTAATTTTTTTGTGGTTTATTTTTCCGAAAGCGTATAGACTTGAGCATAATTTAAATGATCTGCTGGGTGAATTTTATATCAGTAGTATGATGGTATTGCATTAAAATATTTCTCCCTTTACTGTTGTGAGTAATGCAGTTGCTAAACCTGCATTTTGCACTATTCCAACAAAGAAGCAGCAAGGCCTTTTATTCAAGATTCATTCTTCTCCCCCACTTTCCTAGCGCAAAATAGCATTGTGATTGTTGCAGATGCCAGGAGGAGTAAACTTTAAATACCCGCTTTGGGTTGTTTTTTAATAGATTAGCTTGCATGGTATACCCCACCACAATACCACTTAGGGCAGGAAAAAGAAGGAATCTTTATGTATGACTGATGTGGTTGCATTTTAAAAAAATCCACATTTTCCAAGAGTGAACGGTGGTGTTGTTACCTATGTAGCATTTTCTGTGCTACTCAGTGCACAAATTAAATAAGTCACAGCTTTGTTTACTTTTTTTTGGTCAAGTGTATTGCCCTTTTTAGAGGATTTAAAGGTATTCTGATCAAAACTCAGTGCTGTTATGTCTTATCTCTGTATCGATTGAATTCATGTGGTCAAAATAACTTTGATAATTACTTACAACTATGTGGTCAAAATGCATCACAGAAGACATATTTGTTACAAATGAAGCAAGAATTGGATGTAAAGGGTGCAGGTGATCCTAATTAGATTAAGGAAGTAATTTTGCATGTTCTCAGGTTAATCTCCTGCAGCATCTTTTTATTGAGAAAGGCCAAAATTTGTTAAGTACCTGAGAATGGGAAAAGTCTTGCCTACATAATAAAACTCTGAAATATTTATAACAAAATAATTTGTGAAATTCTTCAAGTGTCTTTTTAAAATTGAACAACAATTTGTGTACCATTTATAATTAAATTCAACACCTATCAATTGATCCAACTAACAACTTCTCTCTCCTCCAACTCCCTCAAAGTACCTTTCTCAGTTCGTTAGCTAGAGACTTAACATATTATTTTCACAGTCTTCACCCAAATTAAAAATGGCAATACTGTAAGCATGAGCCTCTTCTGAAGCTTTAGGCGTTTTGAAACATTTTTATTCTTTCATCTTTCTAACAGATAGTGTTAAGGAACATTGTCCGGTTGAAGCGTTTTGTCACAGCATTCGTAAATGTCTCCGACTACATTAGCAGTTGCTTTGATTGGGATTCTCCCCCAAGAAGTCTTGCTGCTTTTGTGGTATGATCTTCTTTATTTTATTGTTAATTATGGTGGTGTATTTGTGTTCTCGACTGAGACATATTACAGTGTTGATGGGGGTGTTTCTTTTTCTTATTTATTTAAAACTTTGAGTTATGAAGATACTGCAAATCATGTTTATTCCCTTTTTTTTAAAATAAATAGTTAAGTTTAAAATGTCACACAAACAACGTAGAAAGTTGTTTTTCTTCATTTATAATTGTACAGATAACATAGGTGAGTGATAGAAATACAAATTTGATTAAGAATACAGTCAGTGAACTATGCGTGGTATATCTTGAGCTTCTCACACATTACTTCTCTTAAATTTTGATTGGGCTGCTTCTATGTTGCATATTTACTCTAAACCATGTTTTGAATATTTCATGGATTCTTTCACGTATACCGAGTACAAAATTAGTGTTATTTTGTCTTCCACATATCAATATATATGTTACGCCTGTAAATTTTTTAGAAGTACAAAGCTTTGGACCCTAATAGTTTCTTCCATAGTACGTTTTAGTGTTCTTGGTTCAAAGCAAAACAAAATAAAACCCCCAAATGAAAGCAAAACCAATCAGATACATCAATGCCAACAAACTAGTACCTTTTAGAAATCAAGCTCTGGTCGTAGTTCAGTTTTTAGTGAATTGATTTTTAGTGCTTTAAATGAAACTGCTGTTTCCCCATAAACATGAGTTCATTAATATTAACCTTCCTTGTTAAAATTTGAAAATTCAAGCATAATTGTAGATTATATTGTGTTTCCGAGATGAATAGATTTTTATTTTCAAAATCATACGAGCTACAAGGAACACCAGAGTCCCCATTTGGTTTTTGTCTGAGGGAGTCCCACCAGGAATAAGAATGTATTCCTGGACAGACTTTCAGGAATATCTGTATTTATTAAATTGACTGAAGTACTGGAGTTATGAGCTTCTCCAGCATGTACCTGAACAGGGAATGGTTTTGGTCTTAATTTGAGTAATTATAGAGGGTGTATGGTGACAGTGCTCCTAGCTTGGGTGCCTGCAATCAAACCGGGCTTTGGAGCTGGGTGCACTGGAGCATTATAATGGGATATTCTGGTGTGTTGCTAATTCAGGCTGTTTTGCAGGAAGTCTCTTCTTCTAGGGCTTCATTTGTACTATGTGACTTGTTAACACACACCCCCACCCC